GGCACAGTGCTCACATTGGTAGGGTTTATCCGTGAGCACACTGAATGAATTCTGCAGGCACATTTATCAAGGCTCTGTCCTGTGTTTACATAGTGGTTACAGTTATGGATAGCACACCAGCAATATAAACAGGCCGGAATAGTGGAAACTGGGAACCTAGCCATAGGAGCAGAGAGAAACACATTTCTAGAGGAGGAAGAAAGAAACGCAATAATATGCTAATAAAATGGAGATCATGCCCTCGTGTTTAGGAGTACTTTATGTATTCTGCAGAGCTTACTAAGAAAATGTGTTCATGTGTCTTTGTTTCAGAAACAGGAAGGCAGTTACATAGCATCTTGAATTTGCTATTGTTGTGGTTAAAATGCTAAATTGTATAAATTCTTGTCTATGTGTACTTCCCTTTTCAACTGTCAGCTTGCAGAAGCTGGAACATGTTTAGAAACATGGAAGGAATTAGTCGTACGACTAAAACTGGCCATACACTATGCAAGTTTTGCTCAGATCTTGATGAGTGGTCCATTTTGTTGGGTAGACCTATTGCCACCCTCCCACCCAACATCCTTCGACTGAAGAATTGAAGGAGTTGGACAGAAATACATTAGGCTGATCCAATCACATGTAGACACTGTTGGGTATTCTGACAGCTGCCCAGAGTACAGCGGGAGATTATTACTATTATTATTATAATACAGGATTTATATAGCGCCAACAGTTTGCTCAGCACTTTACAATATAACGGGAGACAATACAGCAACAATACAGTTCAATACAAGAGGGTTAGCAGGGCCCGGCTCCTTGGAGCTTACAATCTAAGAGATTATTATTATTATACAGGATTTATACAGCACCAACAGTTTGCTCAGTGCTTTACAATATAACAGGAGACAATACAGGAAAAATACAGTTCAGTACAAGAGGGTTAGGAGGGCCTGATCCTGGGAGCTTACAATCTAAGAGAGTATTATTATTATACAGGATTTATATAGCACCAACAGTTTGCTCAGCGCTTTACAATATAACGGGAGACAATACAGCAACAATACAGTTCAATACAAGAGGGTTAGGAGGGCCCTGCTCCTTGGAGTTTACAATTAGAGATGAGCGAATCGAACATGGCGAAGTGGAATTCATTTTGAATATTGGGAAATATTCGATTCGCGCCGAATCCGAAAATTAGCCAACTTCGGATGCACAAATTGATTTTTCCCAAAAATGGCGGTGACATGTGTGGCGACGGAGCGGGGATCTCTGGGAAGGCGCGCAGACAAGGCGCGCTGACCCATAATGCATTCATTCATGACATGTGATCGCATTAGCCAATCAGCAGCCAGCCAGCCAGCCAGCACTGTGTAATGGTGGAGCTATAAATTGCGGCCATCTTACAATTCTCCATTAGCCTCCGGTCATTCAAGAGAGACAGACCTGTCTGTATTAGGGACAGAGTTAGGGCCAGAGAGACTTTAGGGCCACAGAATCGTTACTTAGGGACACAGAATTGTTACTCAGGGACACAGAATTGTTACTCATGGACAGACACAGAATTGTTACTGAGGGACACAGAATTGTTACTGAGGGACACAGAATTGTTACTCAGGGACACAGAATTGTTACTCAGGGACAGACACAGAATTGTTATTCAGGGACAGACACAGAATTGTTACTGAGGGACACAGAATTGTTACTGAGGGACACAGAATTGTTACTCAGGGACACAGAATTGTTACTCAGGGACAGACACAGAATTGTTACTGAGGGACACAGAATTGTTTGTTACTCAGGGACACAGAATTGTTACTCAGGGACACAGAATTGTTACTCAGGGACAGACACAGAATTGTTACTGAGGGACACAGAATTGTTACTCAGGGACAGACACAGAATTGTTACTGAGGGACACAGAATTGTTACTTAGGGACACAGAATTGTTACTGAGGGACACAGAATTGTTACTCAGGGACACAGAATTGTTACTCAGGGACAGACAGAATTGTTACTGAGGGACACAGAATTGTTACTGAGGGACACAGAATTGTTACTCAGGGACACAGAATTGTTACTCAGGGGACACAGAATTGTTACTGAGGGACACAGAATTTTTACTGAGGGACACAGAATTGTTACTCAGGGACAGACACAGAATTGTTACTGAGGGACACAGAATTGTTACTCAGGGACACAGAATTGTTACTCAGGAACAGACACAGAATTGTTACTGAGGGACACAGAATTGTTACTGAGGGACACAGAATTGTTACTCAGTGACACAGAATTGTTACTCAGGGACAGACACAGAATTGTTACTGAGGGACACAGAATTGTTACTGAGGGACACAGAATTGTTACTCAGGGACACAGAATTGTTACTCAGGGACACAGAATTGTTACTCAGGGACAGACACAGAATTGTTACTGAGGGACACAGAATTGTTACTCAGGGACAGACACAGAATTGTTACTCAGGGACACAGAATTGTTACTCAGGGACACAGAATTGTTACTCAGGGACAGACACAGAATTGTTACTGAGGGACACAGAATTGTTACTCAGGGACAGACACAGAATTGTTACTCAGGGACACAGAATTGTTACTCAGGGACACAGAATTGTTACTGAGGGACACAGAATTGTTACTCAGGGACACAGAATTGTTACTCAGGGACACGGAATTGTTACTCAGGGACACAGAATTGTTACTCAGGGGACACAGAATTGTTACTCAGGGACACAGAATTGTTACTCAGGGACACACAGAATTGTTACTGAGGGACACAGAATTGTTACTCAGGGACACAGAATTGTTACTCAGGGACACAGAATTGTTACTCAGGGACAGACACAGAATTGTTACTCAGGGACACAGAATTGTTACTCAGGGACACAGAATTGTTACTCAGGGACAGACACAGAATTGTTACTCAGGGACACAGAATTGTTACTCAGGGACACAGAATTGTTTCTGAGGGACACAGAATTGTTACTCAGGGACAGACACAGAATTGTTACTCAGGGACACAGAATTGTTACTCAGGGACACAGAATTGTTACTGAGGGACACAGAATTGTTACTCAAGGACACAGAATTTGTTACTCAGGGACAGACACAGAATTGTTACTCAGGGACACAGAATTGTTACTCAGGGACACAGAATTGTTACTCAGGGACACAGAATTGTTACTCAGGGACAGACACAGAATTGTTACTCAGGGACACAGAATTGTTACTCAGAGGGACACAGAATTTGTTGCTGAGGGACACAGAATCGTTACTGAGGGACACAGAATCGTTACTCAGGGACACAGAATTGTTACTCAGGGACACAGAATTGTTACTGAGGGACACAGAATCGTTACTTCAAGAAACTGTACCCTCCCCGCCTCCTCATGCTGCTGCCAGGTCCAGAGTGTGTCATGGGTCCCTGTACGGCCTCCCATTGCTGCTGTCCTCCATCGCCACACTCTGCCATGTGTCCCTGTACACACTTTCAGGTCTCCTCACACTGCTGGTGGGTTCCATTTTGTCATAGGGTGCTGGCAGATTACGGGCCTCCCATTGCTGCTGCCAGGCCCGTAATCTGCCATGGGCCCCCGTACCGACTCCCTCATGCTGTGACGTTGCAACAAGGTGGAATTCAACCCTACATATGTTAGACCGCCTTTACGAACAGCGAAAGGCCACACACCGATTTCCTGATGTTACAAGCGGATAAAGGTACTCCTTTGTGTAACTTAGATGTCAGCCATTGGCAGCTCATGCGTGACACCTGCCGCTTGCTCAGGCCCTTTGAGGAGGCCACGCTATTCGTGAGTCGGCAGGACTATGGGGATGAACGACGTCATTCCTCTGTTGCACGTCCTGGAACAAATGCTGTTAACAATGGCTGGTCAGGGTGCGGTAGACGTTGGCGCACAGATCTCAACGCCACATGACCCCTGTGGGGGCAGGACAGGAAGAAGAGGAGGAGGTAGAGGAGGACATTGGTGCTCAGGAATTATTGAGTGAAATGGGTGGTTTTTTTTCCACTCAGCGGACAGGAGTGGAGGAGCAGACAGCATCTGGTAGAGGAGGGAGGAGGAGACAGAGGACCCAGACGCACCGTGGCAGTATGCTGTGGAGATGGAGGCAGGGAGTCCCTCGCATTCCTTGGCACAAATGGCCCATAGCATGCTCGGTTGCTTGCGTAGCGACAGCCTGAATAATAACCATCAGTTACCAGAGGGATGACTTTTGGCTGTCCACCTTGTTTGGACCCTTGCTACCGTTCAAAAATGGTGGCCTTTTTCACACCTGCTGAGAGGGAGGCCAAAATAACGTACTATAAAAACCACCTATGTAGTCAGTTGGTCTCTGCCTTTCTGCGCCAAACGTCCATCCTCAGACACTGTGGGCCCTGTGCGCTCGGGTTTCGCTGCCATGGCAGCAGGGGAGGGGTGGGGTGGTAGGAGCAGTGGCAGCTCCACCAGCAGCGGCTGCCTCAGTCTGCAGTCGATGATGAGTAGCTTTCTTCACCAGCGCAGTGAGGAAACTACTAACCAGCCGCAGCAGCAGCAGCATCAGGTGGACCTGGAGCAGGACCTCAAACAACAGGCTCGGGGCCTACTTGGACAGCACCCTGCCAACCGAGGGTAGACAATCCCCTTGACTACTGGGCAACGAAACTTGACCTTTGGCCCCAACTAGCTGAATTTGCCCTTGAAGGGCTGTCATGGGCCCGGCCAGTAGCGTGGCATCGGAGCGCGTGTTTAGTGCGGCAGGAGGTATTGTAACTCTGCGGAGGACACGACTGTCCACCCAAAGTGTGGAGAGACTCACGTTTGTGAAAATGAATCAGGCGTGGATTAGTCTGGATTTCAAACCACCAGTTCCTGACACAACTGACTAAATCCGCCATGAATCATGCCCCAAACATGTTATTATTTTTAACATAGTCCTCTGTATGGCCTTCAATTTAAGCTGCTTACGCTTCGCCACTCTGCCATGGGCCCCTGTACCGCCTCCTCTTGCTGCTGCCAGGTCCAGAGTGTCTCATGGGTCCCTGTACGGCCTCCCATTGCTGCTGTCTCCATCGCCACACTCTGCCATGTGCCACTTTCAGGTCTCCTCACACTGCTGGTGGGTTCCATTTTGTCATAGGGTGCTGGCAGATTACGGGCCTCCCATTGCTGCTGCCAGGCCCGTAATCTGCCATGGGCCCCCGTACCGCCTCCTCATGCTGCTGCCAGGTCCCAGTAATCTGTGTCTCATGGGTCCCTGTACGGCCTCCCATTGCTGCTGTCTCCATCGCCACACTCTGCCATGTGCCACTTCAGGTCTCCTCACACTGCTGGTGGGTTCCATTTTGTCATAGGGTGCTGGCAGATTACGGGCCTCCCATTGCTGCTGTGGGCCCGTAATCTGCCATGGGCCCCCGTACCGACTCCTCATGCTGCTGCCAGGCCCGTAATCTGTCCTGGGCCCCTGTACCGCCTCCTCATGCTGCTGCCAGGTCCAGAGTGTGTCATGGGTCCCTGTACGGCCTCCCATTGCTGCTGTCTCCATCGCCACACTCTGCCATGTGCCACTTTCAGGTCTCCTCACACTGCTGGTGGGTTCCATTTTGTCATAGGGTGCTGGCAGATTACGGGCCTCCCATTGCTGCTGCCAGGCCCGTAATCTGCCATGGGCCCTGTACCGCCTCCTCATGCTGCTGCCAGGTCCAAGCGTCTCATGGGTCCCTGTACGGCCTCCCATTGCTGCTGTCTCCATCGCCACACTCTGCCATGTACCACTTTCAGGTCTCCTCACACTGCTGGTGGGTTCCATTTTGTCATAGGGTGCTGGCAGATTACGGGCCTCCCATTGCTGCTGCCAGGCCCGTAATCTGCCATGGGCCCCCGTACCGACTCCTCATGCTGCTGCCAGGCCTGTAATCTGTCATGGGCCCCTGTACCGCCTCCTCATGCTGCTGCCAGGTCCAGGATGTCTCATGGGTCCCTGTACGGCCTCCCATTGCTGCTGTCTCCATCGCCACACTCTGCCATGTGCCACTTTCAGGTCTCCTCACACTGCTGGTGGGTTCCATTTTGTCATAGGGTGCTGGCAGATTACGGGCCTCCCATTGCTGCTGCCAGGCCCGTAATCTGCCATGGGCCCCGTACCGCCTCCTCATGCTGCTGCCAGGTCCAAAGTGTCTCATGGGTCCCTGTACGGCCTCCCATTGCTGCTGTCTCCATCGCCACACTCTGCCATGTGCCACTTTCAGGTCTCCTCACACTGCTGGTGGGTTCCATTTTGTCATAGGGTGCTGGCAGATTACGGGCCTCCCATTGCTGCTGCCAGGCCCGTAATCTGCCATGGGCCCCCGTACCGACTCCTCATGCTGCTGCCAGGCCCGTAATCTGTCATGGGCCCCTGTACCGCCTCCTCATGCTGCTGCCAGGTCCAGAGTGTCTCATGGGTCCCTGTACGGCCTCCCATTGCTGCTGTCTCCATCGCCACACTCTGCCATGTGCCACTTTCAGGTCTCCTCACACTGCTGGTGGGTTCCATTTTGTCATAGGGTGCTGGCAGATTACAGGCCTCCCATTGCTGCTGCCAGGCCCGTAATCTGCCATGGGCCCCCTGTAACCGCCTCCTCATGCTGCTGCCAGGTCCAGAGTGTCTCATGGGTCCCTGTACGGCCTCCCATTGCTGCTGTCTCCATCGCCACACTCTGCCATGTGCCACTTTCAGGTCTCCTCACACTGCTGGTGGGTTCCATTTTGTCATAGGGTGCTGGCAGATTACGGGCCTCCCATTGCTGCTGCCAGGCCCGTAATCTGCCATGGCCCCCTTACCGCCTCCTCATGCTGCTGCCAGGTCCAGAGTGTCTCATGGGTCCCTGTGCGGCCTTCCATTGCTGCTGTCTCCATCGCCACACTCTGCCATGTGCCATTTTCAGGTCTCCTCACACTGCTGGTGGGTTCCATTTTGTCATAGGGTGCTGGCAGATTACGGGCCTCCCATTGCTGCTGCCAGGCCCGTAATCTGCCATGGGCCCCCGTACCGCCTCCTCATGCTGCTGCCAGGTCCAGAGTGTCTCATGGGTCCCTGTACGGCCTCCCATTGCTGCTGTCTCTATCGCCACACTCTGCCATGTGCCACTTTCAGGTCTCCTCACACTGCTGGTGGGTTCCATTTTGTCATAGGGTGCTGGCAGATTACGGGCCTCCCATTGCTGCTGCCAGGCCCGTAATCTGCCATGGGCCCCCGTACCGACTCCTCATGCTGCTGCCAGGCCCGTAATCTGTCATGGGCCCCTGTACCGCCTCCTCATGCTGCTGCCAGGTCCAGAGTGTCTCATGGGTCCCTGTACGGCCTCCCATTGCTGCTGTCTCCATCGCCACACTCTGCCATGTGCCACTTTCAGGTCTCCTCACACTGCTGGTGGGTTCCATTTTGTCATAGGGTGCTGGCAGATTACGGGCCTCCCATTGCTGCTGCCAGGCCCGTAATCTGCCATGGGCCCCCGTACCGACTCCTCATGCTGCTGCCAGGCCCGTAATCTGTCATGGGCCCCTGTACCGCCTCCCATCATGCTGCTGCCAGGTCCAGAGTGTCTCATGGGTCCCCTGTACGGCCTCCCATTGCTGCTGTCTCCATCGCCACACTCTGCCATGTGCCACTTTCAGGTCTCCTCACACTGCTGGTGGGTTCCATTTTGTCATAGGGTACTGGCAGATTACAGGCCTCCCATTGCTGCTGCCAGGCCCGTAATCTGTCATGGGCCCCTGTACCGCCTCCTCATGCTGCTGCCAGGTCCAGAGTGTGTCATGGGTCCCTGTACGGCCTCCCATTGCTGCTGTCTCCATCGCCACACTCTGCCATGTGCCACTTTCAGGTCTCCTCACACTGCTGGTGGGTTCCATTTTTTCATAGGGTGCTGTATGGCCTCCCATTGCTGCTGCCTCCACCGCCACACTGTGGCTCCACACTCTGGTTTTGGCCCCGTGACTGCCCAAATGAGTGAAGTGTGCGGTGATTCTAAGATCGACGGCACTCATCTGCATGTCATACTGACTGACAGTATTATTTCTCTTCCCCAGCAGACTCCAAGGGCATTTAAATTAAAGGTACAGTGTTCTGCACTAATATAAAGGCTCTCTGAAGCCTAGAAACACCCTTTTTATAGTTAAATTCGCAGCGAATATATTCGACTCGAATCGAATTTATTCCGCGAATTCGCCGAATCGAATTTTTGAATACTTCGCTCATCTCTATTTACAATCTAAGAGAGTATTATTATACAGGATTTATATAGCGCCAACAGTTTGCTCAGTGCTTTACAATATAACGGGAGACAATACAGCAACAATACAGTTCAATACAAGAGGGATAGGAGGGCCTGATCCTGGGAGCTTACAATCTAAGAGATTATTATTATAATACAGGATTTATATAGCGCCAACAGTTTGCTCAGCGCTTTACAATATAACAGGAGACAATACAGCAACAATACAGTTCAATACAAGAGGGTTAGAAGGGCCCTGCTCCTTGGAGCTTACAATCTAAGATTCATGGATTTGCGCTGTATAGCATGCATGGAGAAATCTTTTAGGTTTTTTTTCAGCCCAAGAGTGTCAGTCTGGAGGAGTGGGTATTTCTAGGTAGACTGCATTTATTATTTATTTGTTACAGGTACTTACATAGCGCCATCAATTGACGCAACGCTTTACATATATATTGTACATTCACATCAGTTCCTAACCCTCAAGGGGCGTACAATCTAAAGTCTCTAACCCACATTCATATATTCCATGCACATTCATCAATCTGTCCTGCATTGTTGCTCACAGCAAGTATGGAAGGGTGCTTGGCCAACGGTGCTGCAGTTTTTGTATTTTGACAGCCGCCGCTGCCAATGAGAGACTGCATCTGATTGGATACAGGCACTGCTTAGCTGTCAAATTTCTGCTTTGATTTTTCAGTTGTAGGATATCGAGCTAGGGTTGCCAGCAGGGCCACCCACAGAGTAAATTGTGGACAGTCCATCTGGAACCAGCCGAAATTCGCTTCCTGTATGGCCAGCTCAAGGAAATGATTTACAACTAAGAAATGGTCTGAAGATGTGCAGTAAATATATATTTCTGCAATTGAACGATGATATATCCAGTAAAGTAAATAAATCCTGTATAATAATAATAATATAATAAATAAAGGCTGATGATGATGATCTTATCTTTGGGATCCTGGAAGGGCATACAGTTTGTAACTAGCCATCATCCTAGTTAGAGGTACCAGAAAGACTAGTGGAAATTGGTATTTGTTTACCTTAGTGAGGCCTGGGTGATTAGCAGTCAGTGATGATCTGATGTGCACTGATAATGTGGAGAATGGCTTTAGTGACTGTCCTGTTGTTGTCTGTGCCTCAGGAAGAGGTGTGTCTGTCTCTGGCCTGCAGTAAAACTGATGACACAGTCTGATAGACAAGTGCTACACAAAGACAGAGGAATTTATGGGCACCTGAAGGCAATACAAGTCAATGATGAAAGGCGTTCTCAATGTTAGACACTAATTCATAGTGAAAAGAAATCCTTACAAGCGCTTTGTGTCTGCTATGCAGCTTGTGAGGATGAAAGCCATCACTAAACTCTTAAATGCTAGGAGGTCATAACTCAAGTGAGGTTTGGTGCCACTGTGAAGTTTATAGTGGACACTCAAGTACTAATTAGAATACAGAAAGATGGTTTCATGCTGCGGAACATCCGTTTTTATTTTTTACAACAAAACTGTTTATCCCATATGCTACCAAGTCTTACGCTAAAAAAAAAACAAAACAGTAAGCACTATACTTTATTTGTTAAAACACCAACATAGTCCTGAAAAAACAAAAACATCAGTAATAGATGCAAATCATTTCTTTATTATGATCACTAGGATCCTCTGAAAAGGTGGGCATATGACATGGTGAACACACAATTGTTTTTATTTTTCTGATTGACTGTGTGTTCACCATGTCATATGCCCACCTTTTCAGAGGATCCTTGTGATCATAATAAAGAAATTATTTGCATCTATTACTGATGTTTTTGTTTACTCTGCATTGGATTTAGAATGCCATCTTTTTTTGCAGTTTGCTCTAGTCAACTGCTAACCTTTTCTAATATGCTAATTTTCAGTTTATAATCAAAACCTCAATATAGTGAGTCAGAGAGACCTTTTTGATGGGTGATCACACCCTGAATGATAGCATTTTCTCTTTTTGTCTATAGTCTAAAGAATAGACAATAGGGGTGATTTACTAAAACTGGAGAGTGCAAAATCTGGTGCAGATGTGCATGGCAGCCAATCAGCTTTTAACCTCAGCTTGTTTAGTTGAGCTTTGACAATAAAACCTGGGAGTTGATTGGTTTCTACAGTATGCAGAGCTCCAGCAGATTTTGCACTCTCCAGTTTTAGTAAATCAACCCCATTTTTTTTTTTAATAAGAGGTTACTTGGATATTGCAGATCTCCTTATGTCAGTATGACTTACCAAACTGTAAATTGTAGGGATCAGCAAATTACATTTGCAGTGATCTTTGTGACATTGTGACTCTGTCACGGATTGATTTTTCCTGATCCAGGGTACCATGTTACTTGGATATTAGGTTTCCATCAAGTAACAGGCCCATGCCTTCACCCAGCATGTCTCCTTTTTTCAATGGCCATATACCTATTTTGACAGTGCTTGCCTTTTTAGAACCCGATGGTGGCAATTCTGCCAGAATTGTGATAGGGTATCAATGAAGGTCTACTAGAAAAGGCATTTTTCTACACAGTTTTCTTCTCCTTTTACAAATGAAAGAGAAATTATTATTATTATACAGGATTTATATAGCGCCAACAGTTTGCTCAGCACTTTACAATATAACAAGAGACAATACAGTTCAATACAAGAGGGATAGGAGGGCCCTGCCCTTCGAGCTTACAATCTAGGAGAAATGTATTTATTTACTTTATGTGCTTATATAGCGCTGTCAATTTAGGCAGCACTTTACATATATAAATAGTTGGAATATGCAGCGCCATAGATAAATAATGCAATGTTGAACACAAAATCTCAGCATAGTCGCTGGAACATAATATCAAACCCTTGAATATAAAAAGTCTGGTGTATGATAAATAAACGCAGCAAAAACATTCCTGTAGATTGAACACATGTGAGGTGTACCCAAATAGCAGGAGCTTCAGAAGTTCATTGGATCTAAAATCCCGAAGAATCTAGTACAATAATGTGCTTACCACAGGAACATACAATCTGAGCGTTGTATGCATGT